ATGATGGTGGAAAACACCGAAACGTTTTTTTAAATTGATAAATGAACAATAAATGACTGAAGAACCCAGGATTTGATTTTAATTTTGGAATTGTAGATTATATTTTTTTACTTATAAATGCTCGTTAAAAAAAGTGGAATACATTTCGAGCACTTTGTTGTTAATATTCGATGCCACACAGAAAATTTTCGGGGACTTATTATTGATTTTTCAAAAAACATCAAACCGGATTAGTTTTTAGCGGGTAACTGATAACATTTTACAAAAAATTTTTAAAAATTTACAAAAAGTTCCTCTCCGGCCGGGAATCGAACCCGGGTCTCCCGCGTGACAGGCGGGGATACTTACCACTATACTACCGAAGACTCATGTTGTAATTAAAAGTTACGTACGTCCGTATGCTCATATTCTTTGTAATAAATACATCATACAATTAGGGTGTTTCAACGGTAAATTAAGAGAAATTTGAAAATTGGATGGTGTGTCGAAGTCAGCACAAAGCATGCGATACAACATATTTTCAAGATGGCCACACTTTCGGTTAGTAAAGAATATCCCGAAGAATTCGCGGAATTTTCGTTCATCCGATGGCAAACGGGGGACCCGAAGAATGGGAAACCCCCAAATGCGAGAGCTTCGTCGGAATGCGTATTTTTCGCATGTTGAATAAATTCGAGTGGGGAGTTTAGGTATTTTGAATATGGTGCGAACTTAAGTAGACACACTAATATTTGCATAGAACATTTAATTGTATTAATCAGTCCCTTTAGTACTGTCATAAATCCTGCACCTTCATATGCATTTCAATATGCAGTTAAGTTAAATATAAAAGTTCTTCCATATGGATAATAAGTATCTTATCTTTTACTTGCTTAGCACTCGAATGATTCAGAAACATTGATTAAAATAAAACTGAAAATATGTATTCGCACGTAAATCGCCTAGGTAGCATATCAGCAGTTCAATTATCAAGTTTTATCATCTGTTTTATTCGACAATTACAGAAATTCAAAAAGCAGTAAAATTTATTAGAATAGATTCTCGATAACCTTTGAAGACGTCTTATAAAATTTCAAGAGACAAGGCAACATTTCTGTTATTTTTTTCATTAAACGCGACTGAGAAAGCCAAATCTACATTATTAAAAATATGCAAAAGTGAGAACTTTAATTGTATGCTTAGTAAACTGTGTAATCGTGGATTTATTTATTGGATATTGATTCTATGACGGTGTTTGAGTGCTTTTTTATACAGGGTGTCCCACCGGGGACCGTTACGATCGGATCTGACAAATTATAATTAGGAGATATTTGAAAATTGGATAGTGTGCCGAAGTCATCGGGGGCAGGCAATCGAAAATATTACCAAGATGGCCATGTAGGTATCAACTTGCTTATTTTAAATGGAACACCCTATATATTATTACATTTTTCAATTCGACTTCAAATTATAAATATATCGGATGTATAGTATCCTATACCTAAGTCTAACTGTTGTTGATATATTTTAAATTTTATGTAAAAAATGACAGTTGCAGCCACTCGAATAWTTATTCATTTTTCCTATTAGGGAATAGGTTCTACTTAATTTGAGTCGCATTTATTGTTGAAAAGGACTTACTTYAATGAAATTTCGAAAAAAATTACCGTAWTTTATATCTAGYATTTCAACTATAARGAAAAACKGTAAAAAAAATAAGTTTCAAAATGACGTTGATAAAACCGCCCTAAATCAATKTYTYCRAATGGAAAAATTTTGCATTTGAGCTTGTTGTCTTGTAAAAACYTCATTCGTTTATTTTCACATTGGAACGAAAAAGCCCTCCTCCTTCGGAGTCGGGTTTTTCGCAACAATATGAAAATAAACTCATGCAGTTTTTAGAGAACAAGCTTTCATGCAAAATCATCGGTAATTTTTAAGCACTTTACCTCTTAATTACCTCCGAAAATGCAAAAAAACTGCAATTTTGTTTGAAAATACTCTGGTTGTGTTATAACCTCCAAACAGTGCTACACAGCTAAAAACTCAACTAAAAACATTTTAAGTTAATTATTGGGTAAAAAACGTCTTGTGCAATTCGCAAATATTTCAGCCTGTTGGAGTAAATTTTAAACTGCTTACATCTGCGATCTTGCCAGTTATTCTATTCTTCGCTCGTGGAATAATGTTCCAAATTGTGCCTTTTAGGAACAGAAATATCCTCGGTTGAAGGATAAACGAATGAGGTGAACCAATTTTTTTCGGAGACATTTTTTCATTACACCGCCTTATTTGAAGCTGAATAAATTAAAATATTGAATATTTTTGTCCCTGATAACTGGGAACATAAATTTTTGAATTTTGCTACCACACTTGTGAATTTTTATTTAGAATTTACTCGGTTTTGCGTGTTTGGTATGACTATAATTATCTTCTGTTATTTATTCTAATTTTATATGCCTAGAACCGTGGCATATTACTGCAGATCTTGTTTACACGCAATGCGATGTTAATATTTTTAATTTGGTACCTGAATGTGCCTTTTATTCCTGCTCGCTGGGCTTCCCTATAACATTCATAATCTCCGCCTCGAATTCCACCTACACTTCCAGACAATGGACTATTGAGAGCGGCTATTCGTAGCTGAAATAAAAAAACAGGGATTATTACCATGAAAATGCGATATAATGAAACATAATATGCATACATATTTTCAAAGGATTTATTGACAGAACCCAACGTTAAAATAACATCATTATTAACTTGGCGAGAAGATTTTCAGGAACAAAATCACATTTCGTTTGTAGGATCATTTGCGAACCAACTGCATATAAAAGACTGTGTAGAATGAAAATAATCATTATGTCGCGGTTGAGGCTGATTTTGGAGTCGAATAATGCGACTTGGCCACTCGGATGGAAAAATATTCGATAACGATGAAAAATGTTCATTTTAGAGTCATACTGGTAATTAATATCTTTTATATACTACATTTGATCTAGATTGCATTTTAGGCATCGTTCAGAGTAGCAGTATGATTAGAGAAAGGCTGTTGTAAGTTGTACTTTATAATACAATACGTATTTTTTAAGTATTAAGCAAACGTATTGAATGCTATCGGAATTTATTCACCCTCAACGTTGTGAAAGGCTAAAATTTAAAAAAAGTGATACATAGCAGGATATTAGCAAGAGCACAGCGATGATTTAAAAAAATGACTTATTCAATAGGGTTGCGCGAATTTTATATTAAAAATTCCGTTAAAAATCAGACTTTTAAATTGCATCACAGAAAGAAAGCAAACTTATTACATAGTTCTAATTTATTCTGAAAAGCAATTTTCAATCTCAAGTAAGTGTACAGTTTTTAGATGAATTTAATGTAAATTTTTGTTTTACATCGCGGGCGTTTTAAAAAGGATTTTTACCTGTGGTTCCCACTGAAATTTTTATTTGAAATTTGAATCCAATTAGCTGATTTTATGAAATATTCGAAGCTATTGATAAAACGAATTAACTCAGTTCCGCACTGCTTACTCTCTAATTGATTGGTTATCGGGATTTTACCCGTTTTATTTAAGAAGCGTCTGAAGAGTGTTTTAAGGGGAGGTATCGTGCTCAGCTAATCAGCAAGCTTTGATTTAATTTTGGTTTTCCAATAAAAACTGGCGTCGGTTTCATAAATGTAATTGAAAATCGAGCTGAAAATATGCTTGTATGCCAACTCGCACTATTGTAAGTTATTATCATACGCATTTTGGAACGCTTGCAAAGGACCCCCTTTTTCAGGAAATTGCCCATATTTTCCTATTCTAACTTTTTTCTGGATATCATAGGGCTTCTTCTAAAGGAAAAACGTCTGCTTCAGACTTACAAAGAGTTTATTTGCTGCTTACTTTAATACTAAATGAAGTCTTTCTGGATTTTCTTCGGCAGTGTCTGGATATATTTTCAATTGATCCATATCTTGTATGCATATTCTAAAATCGAGCAGACGAAGTTTTATTGGCGGATTATGGGAATCGCCGGAATTGGCATAATTTGACTTGAATTGTCGTTCTTTTCATGAATCGCATTTATTAGTAAAAGGGAAGGAACGAACGATTTACGATTAGGTTAGATATAAAGCTACAAAGCCGCGAGTAATCGATTTCGGCTAAACTGATGCGTATGTAATAGGTATTCATTTTGTGTAGCGAACGGCTCCAAATTATGTTATGATATCTAGGAATCTATAAACGAATTAATTCGATTTCCCACTTTAAAAAAAATGGTGCAGATGCAAAATTCATTCAAGTTAAGTCCTACATGTAGATAATTATGAAATCATGTTACACCTGGTCAACCAGCAATACCTTTCGCACACACGTTCTCACGAATAGCACACTTCCTGATATCAATTGAAAAACTTTTTTAAAACTCTGTCATAAATCGAGTACGGAGATCCTGAAATTTCAAATTAGTTATGTCAGATGATAAATCTATGTAATCCACCTCGTAAGTATTCATCCCGATGGTACATAAATTATGGGTTGCAACTTTCGAAACTTATTAAATTTGACGAAAGATAAAGGAATTTCATTATTGCATTTTAAAAACGGTTAGGAAATGTATTATTCGCCAGCGGAATGTTGTTTGAGATATTGCGGGCTTTGAAAAGTTTCAAATTGGTTGAAATCTAATTTAGACTTTGATGAAAAGTTTTCGTAATAGCGAAAGGAATATATTACCGATGACAAATTTTTCTTTCGGAAATATACTTTTACAGTTTGCCCTATTTGGGAATGTGAACGAACAACAAGAAGATTCATTCAGTTAAGGGAAGTTTGTGTCTGGCGTTGAGTTGATTAATAGCCAGAGTATCGAAAGGATGTAAAATATGCTAGAAAAATTTCGACTGCTATTATTGTCAGAATTTCTTGTTTTGTTTTGTACAATTTCAAATTGTACGCTCATAACGGGGGTAATTTTATTTTTTCTGCTATAAACTTTTGTTTTGCTTTTGCCTTTCAATTACTTTTCTCCAGTAATATTTTTTCCAATGCCATCATAGTAAAAATGCAATATAATTATTGCAAATAGGGGAAAATTGATAGAAGAAAAGTACAAAAGGCAGTAAAGCAAAATTAAAAGCAAATCACTGAGTTATCTTCTAAAACACTAAATTTAGATCGGAATCGATTAAACAATTTTGCGAAAAGGTAATTGGAGTTCGCAGAACATAACAATCTCAAATTCCAATCACGCTGTAACGAAATCAAAACATTCCAAAATCTAACCACGAACAAGATTAAAACTTTGCCAGTTAGTTATATAGTTGAGATGTTGGCGACATTATTCAATATCAGCTTCTCGGATATTGTTAATTTTTCTGCAGATAATCCATCTGAAGGAATTAAATCATTGCTATGTAGTTATCTATGCACTGAACGTTTTAATAACTCCGCTTTAATTATAGCTTGGCGTAAACTTCTAATTTCATCCAAGTAGATACAATCTCAGACGGATTACCTGAAAATGTATTCTTATTTCTCAAGTCTAGAAACAACCCTGAAACTTGGCGAACAATTAGTACTAAAAAGATCTAAGATTTGAACGGGTGAGAGATAAAAGGGTAGAATTAATTACCTTTTATACAGGCAAGGTTAAGATTTAACCGACTGCGTTGCTGAAATTGAATTTTTTTTCAAATAAATCTTTCTAAAATTACTATTTTAAGAAGTTTCGTACATTTCTTTTGCAGAACAGGGCTTTAGTTTGCTTTCTTGAAATAACTAGAATCTCGGCTCTGTCATCATTCAGATTTCTTTGCTTAACCGCCTACTAAAATTGTCGCATTTAATATTAATTAAGTTTTCACTTTAGTCAGGTTCAGTACAAGTAACTTGTATAAAAACCATTGAGTTGGGACCTTTCTCTAATAGTGTTGTTGAGGGTCTGTTATAATTCGGCGTCAGTAAAATAGTGATTTTTCACAATAGTGTGTGTACATGGATGGACTCTGGTTGCCTTTCCTGTCACGTCTCTATATTATAATGGTGGAACGTTGAGAAAAATAGGGTCTGACACAATTTAGCAAGTTATATGGGTCATTTATTTTATGTTTCATGTGTATTATATGGTTTTTTCGAATCTATGAACACTAGATGCTTAACATATTTTTAAAGAAGAGCTGGTCAAAAGCATTCCTAATTATATGTAAAAACGTTCTGATTTATTGCATCTGAAACTCGGGCTTATAAAGCTGACAAGTGCTTACCACTACTTAAAAAATAATTGTTTGCTTAAATAATATAAACCAAAGGAATTTTACATATTTTTAAAATATTATGTTCAATTGCGTATGTTTTGTCAAAAATATATGTATTAGTGGGTATATCAGGCATAACAATAAGAATGATAATAGAAATGGATTACTTGCAAATTTCGAGTTGTTAATGTAACACTGTGACCAAACGTAATGTGTGAGTAAAAAATGTTTCAGTTTATTCTTTGACTCACATTTTCCTTGAGTTTCACTACCGTTTGTGGTACTGTGTATTATTTTGTTATTAGTATTATATGTTATTAATCTGATGTTACATTTTTTATTCCATAAATTGAAATATTGCAAATAATTATATACTGAATAGTGAACACTATCGCTTTGTTTTTGATTTTGAGCATCCGTATTAAGCCATAGGAAACGTTCTATTTTCGTCCTCTTAAATGAACACATTCATATCATACAAGCCGAAAACACTTTCCACATTAGTTATTTGGCACAATTGCTTAATAAGAACTTGAATTGAAAAAAATGAAAACCTTCCTTAGCCACTGAATAAAATTGTTTGTTATGTATTCTATAGTACAATTTAAATTAGAAAATTTGTAAATAATTCAATACTATCTAAAATTCCTCCTAGATACACCTGTCATAATTTTTCTTAGAAGCTCCGAATACCCTTTTGGTTCTCGCCAAAACTATTTAGTGATTAAAGCACGAAAAGCATATTGAAACTAAAAGATTTTTTCATTATATTAATATGTTTTTCTAGTAGAAGTAATTCGAGATTTTATTAATAAAATTTGCAATGCCGCTTTCTCCAAAAAATGTATAAGGTATTTAGAGTAGCTACGTTGTCACAGGCGATGTGGTTTTGCTCATTTGCATGGCCGGCAACTTTTCAGTAACGCAAGTGCATTTTTAAATTAAGTTTTTGCAATTCAATTTTAGGTTTTTAATTGTAAAACTCGATTAAAGAGCCCATACGGAGTTTTTTTAAGTCTAGATTCCCTTACGTATCTAGAATTTCACATTCGTTAATTCACTAGAGCTCTCGGAAATATACAATATGTGGCTGTCGGTAATTAAATCAATCCACAGGCTTCACTCGATTCTCATTAAATATTTGTGTTAGTTTTTTATGTGTAGGTAATAACAGTTTACATATGTATCTTCGATTATATAAAAAAATTAGTTTTACCCTTAACATCTTCTTACTCGCCAGTTGCCTAATCAAATTCACTTGGCTTTCGATGTGAAATCAAAGTTTTTTCTTGCTCTTTAATATTTATACGTTTAAGTTTCAACCAATGCTTACATAAAATCTACATTATTTATTATTCTGTATTTGCTGGAGAAAAAGCTTTTTTGCTTACCTAACCTTTAGTGGGAGAATCAAATAAGATAGCAAAATTCCCCCAAATTTTGTATAAAAAAATGCTGAGCTTTCCGTGAAAACATAACATATTCTGTAGAATAAAATAAGGTGTTACGCTCTGCAATTCGCAGATTTATGTAATGTCTAAAGTTTCAGTCAACACACACACAAACATTTATCTGCGTTAGGATTGAATTAGTTGTATGAAATGCATTTTTGTTGACTTATTTTGGCTTTACCTATATGGTAAAATTTTGATAGTAACCTACGCTATACTGCAGATATTTAGATCAACCGAATTGGTTTGGGAACTTTTGGCTCTGACATACGTTGTATATTCTCGTGGATTATTTCGCGAAATGCTTTTAAGGTACATTAGAAATTCAGATTTTAGCAATTATGATCTAACTTCTTCGGTATCGTAAATGGAACAATTGTGTAGTGAGCGCGATTGTTCTGTCACCAAATAACTGAACAGTTTTCATACATTTTATATGGCTTGTGTGATTTACCTTCATTTAGTTGTGCAATGGTGTCTGTCTGTTTTAAATATTCTTTTTTGAAGTAATCGATCAACCTTTTCACTTTTCACTTGAAGCATTATAATTTTTTTGCTAGTGCTTCTCGATGTATTGAAACTGTTCTTATATTTTAATTTTTGGGTTTGATTGTAATCTTTATACCCTCTACTTTGCAAATCATTTGAATTTGCTCTTCTCCTCCACCAGCTCCATCTTACTTCATTGACATTTCATAATTTTCTGTTCTTGGTCTTTGGATTTGGGCTGCTATATTCCTCATTCCTTATTGGTGTTTTTAATTTTTATTCGACTTCGGTTTTTGGTTTCAGGTTCTTCCGATTTTCTCATCCTGATCTTGACCGTGTATTGCGTGTTTCTATTTGAGATTTTCCATTCTGAAGCAGATATCAATCCGTCTTATCAAAAACCGTTCTAGTTTGACTTGGGGTGATTTCCATTAATGTAATTTTCCGGAACGGAATTTTTTACATGTTCTCTGATGTGATGGGAGTTATTCCTTGTTTCTAGTATGGTAATACAGTTCATAATGATAAGAAGGTTGTTCCAAAATATTTTCAGAACGATCAATAACTATGTATCCTTCGTCTATTGTTTCACATACATATTTTTCACCTCGTGTTTGATAGCACCAAAACACTTGCTTAATTAAACTTACCATACACTTTCGATATCTTAAACTTAGATAACTAAAGCCAAATAGATTATAAACCAAACGATTCACCTCGGTCAGCGTGATCATTCGCAGAACAAACACTATATCTTAAAAGCAATTAATTTTTAAACTTCAAGAAACTTTAGACGCTTTTAAAGCAGACTCTGGAAGAGAAAATACTGGAAGCACAAATATTTGCCAAGCATCAAGGAACTATGAACTCTTAAAGAAGTTCCTTTAACCGATGGGGTTTGCTGTAAATCTCTTTATGGCTGCTGGAGGAACAAGAGCCATAACTATTAAAGCTTTTTGTAAAAATGGTTTGGTTATAGCGATCTAGACAACTGATCGTGAAGCTATTTATGGAGGTTTCATTCTGAGCAGTCACAGGGCAAATCGGAAATTTAATTGTAGTTTCAGCACGTACTGCTAAAAGCTTATTAAAGAACTATAACAACAGAATAAATAAATAATTATGTGTCTCTGTGATGAGCTTCTGCAATTGAAATTCAGTAACGCACGAACAAAGTAGAAATGCTGAAGTAGAAAAATAAAATTAAAAAGTTGCACAAAGACTCCGACCCGTTCGGAGTCATCTCCGTGCCCAATAACATATCGATTTTGTTCAAGGAACTCCCAGCAATAAATCTAAAAAGTAATAAAATCAGAGGAGAAAAAAGCGACAACATCCTCGAAAATAAATCCCGGTCAAGCACCTAGGAAACTGTTGCGAAGCTCGTTTTAGCAAAATGCAAACTTTGGAGTTCAAGAAGTTATCAGCGCAACCGTTCACAAGGGACACATAACAGCGAGTCGATGCTGGAATTGGGCTAAGGTTGCAGAATCAGTACTTTAATAAGAATAACGGTCTATAAAAATGTAAATATTACTAGCGTCAGCCATTAAAAATGGAACTGCATGAACCTGGAATTGCAGTTTTAAGTGGCTAACAGCTAGAGAAGAAAAATTACATTTTTAATCTTATCATTTGGGTCATGGTGTACATCAGGTTTATGTTTTCTACATTAAATGCCACCTCAAGAAAAATGTAGTGAATGAAAAGCGTAATGTTTTATTGAGAAGAGCCAGACATTTTTTATTGTTCTTGATTGCTTGATCCTGCAAGCAATCATTGGGCGTCGCTAAACATGTTTTAAATCAAGTCAAATGTTGTATTTTTGCTTTTGAGAGTTTTTGACCAAATAATGCGATTGTTGCGATAAAAACGAGCAGATTGGATTTCTTTTAAGCAGTCCAGAAATCAGTCCTACCAAAAGTGGTAAAATAGGCTGCCGTTAGCTTTTTTATAACGCAGTTGTATTTATACCGACGATGGGACTGTTTTGCAACTATGACCAGTTTCACCAATTGATGTGAGTGCTTCTTCGACGCATTCAGAAAGTTCTCTTTCACGAAGATTTGTTCGTTGTTTCTAAAATATTTTATTCACATGGCTCCGGAAATTAAAAAAAAACAGGAATATTCATATCTGACGACCGAGGCAGCCAAGCAATCGACAAAAAGGATAAGTGAAACGTTCGGAAGAGAAGAGATTTGAAAGAAATCACTTCACAATAAATTATGGAAATGTGGCAAGTTGTATCGTCATGAACAAAGTCCAAGAGCAAAGGAACGACCATGTACAAAAAGAGTAAAATAAACTGACAATCATCCACTCATCATGAGGACAATACATGGACATTGACAATGTTGAAATATGATGTTCAAATGAAACTGAATCATACATAATGAACTTTTGGTAAAAAGAGATGAATAGTCTTAACTTACCGCAGCAAATTGTGTCGTTTTGGCCTCTTCAGGACTTTGAGACGCATGAGGTTTTACGCGTGAGTTGAACTCGGGAAGTGGAGTGGCGTGTCCTCGGTGTGGCAGGTGGGCATTTTCAGAGGCCAAATGAATCTCTGCAAACGGTGATTTGCTTTTATTGGAAGTCTGCGGCCTTTCCAGAATTGTGGACATACCGGGATATTTCGGCAACATGTTGTTGTTGACGAGATTGCTCGATTCAAATGGCGGATGTACCTGCGGTGGTGCTGTAGTTGTTGGTAGAGGTGTGGAGTCCGTTTGCAACAAAGCTCCTAACTGAAAAAGAAAACGCTTTTATTAAAGCTTGATGAAAAAATCATCCAGGATAAAAGTTTATGGTTTGAACAATAAGAAATACATTTGGAATATTGAATTGATCTTATCTGATTAGTGTGATGAATTTAGAGTTTCACCAGTAAAAGATTTCATTTTATTTTTGTCTTTTTGTTTCATTTCTTATCTTATAAATAAAGCAAAAATAGACACCATTTTTGTTTCATTTTCAACATATATTCGAATATGCATTGGCAGGGATTTAATTTAAATGTATTTAAAATGTTCGGTGTTTTCAAGAATCATATTGCTGTTGACGTACAGGGTACCTGATTAATATAAAGTTAAGGCGAACATTAACACAATTTGGCTGCTGGTGGCAACTCACAAAAAACCACGTTTTGACTATTAATATTTTGTTAAATTAATTATTGTGTTTCATGTGACGACAAAATCGTGTAAAATTTCTTGAAAAATTAATGTTAGTGTGCAATTGGAGTGACGTTTTAAATCTTTTTAATTTAAAGCTTGAACTTTATGTTGACCTTTTCCTTAAGTCATGACCTTTCACTACACTCTATATAGATATAGTTGAAAGCTTCTATCTGTAAAGTTCCATAATGAAATCAACGTTTTGAGAAAAGCAACCCAACATTCAACATTTTCGTACTGTTGCCCTAAAGCGGATAAACTCGTCTTACACAATTTGCTATGCAAAGTTGCCCGAGTTGAAATATTTCAGTGCACCTCTAAATTTTCAATGACAAGTGGGAATGCCTTTGTCATAAATTTTACGGAAATTTAAGGCGCTGAAGATTAAATTAGGTGAACGTCTCGGCGGATTTTCGAATAGAACTGTGTACATGCATTAAACTTGGAAAGCATTAAAACGGCTCTTAATTAATAGGGAGCTTTCAAATAGCTGTGTGTTTTGCTGCATCAGGTGCAAAATGGCATTAACTTTGCTAGTTGAAGGTGCAAAAATGCCTGAAAGCTATGTCGAATACCTGACTAGCAGAACGTCTTATGTTATCCTAAGAACGGGTTAAAAGGAAGATTGTCGTGCCACGGATTGAATAGGGTGAAAGTTAGTTTAAATAAACCATAAGCTTATGAAGGCAATTTTTTATATGTGTTTAATTTGATTGTTCGTGGCTCTTGGAATCAGTTCACCATATTAATAACTGCCAAATCAAAAACTTCGTTGATATATTTACAACTGACAAGTTTTTAATAAACCTCGTGGCTGAAAACTTCTTGATTGGTTAGTGTCTAAAATTACCAAAACATTGCCAATTTTTAACGCTTGAGAGTAACTGAGATGTAAAAACATGTAGAAACGTATTTCAATTTTACATTAAATTATGTGGTTTTTGAAATTGCGTTATTGGTATTGGTGGATTTTCAGTTTGATATTCATGTGTAATTTTTTGATGAATATCCTGGATACTTAGAGGTCCTGTGCGTACGGTGTCCATTAACGCTGCTAAACATACACAAGATAGCTTACCGACATGCTAGAATCGAATAATTTTTCACTACTTCCATATACATATTGTTCAGTCTGGTCAGTGATCAGTTTGTAAATTCCGTTAGTAAATATGGCAAGATAAAATTTACCTCGTACTTAAAGAAATCGGGATGGGCGCGCGAGCTTGAACCGAAGAAATTAAGGTTTAGAAATCTTCCAAACCAAGAGATAAAAACAGCTAAAGGAAATTTAGTAACAACAAAGGTTTATAATACTTCAAATAAACAGTTTAAAAAACGTTCAAGTCTCATTAAAGTAAATGAATTTTTTCGAGACTCTTTTGTTGTATGGTAGCTGTATTTGATTATCACCGAGTAATAACATTAGTTAGAAAAAGTCTAAATTTGTCGAACTTAAAATAACTACTATATTGTTTCAAATAGCTTGTTTGAGATGAATTCTTGAGGAAACATTATAGGCATGATGACCACATTGTTTCACTTTCCCTGCTTACATAATCCAACCGAGCGGACAATACGCGTCGTTTGTACCATTATGTAGAAAACATTTAACGGTCTCTTCTTACCTTTCCTTTCATGCCATTGAACAATAGGTAAAAGTTAGTTGAAGGATCGTATGTTAAAACTTACAGCAACATATTGCCAGCCGGCATTAACCCGAACCAACAGGGACTCCTCCTCGATGATGTAGACCATTGTTCCTATGGGACTTCCCTTTGTGGTTTCGAGCATCAAATTTCTGGATTTGAAGGCCATTGCTCCAGAAACTTGGGAAGTCTCTTTTTTTTGGGTCACTGCGTGAGCTATTGGCGGACTGGCCGTCGATCGACCTGAAATAACTCATTTAATTTAACTCAGTTGAATCATTAGTGACGGTAAAACTTGTCCAATAGATCATTATTTAGCAATGAATTGGTTTGACTATATAAACTATAAAATCTGTAATAAAAGACGTGAGGAAATTCTGTCTTTTTTAAAGACAAACACTTTTGAGGCGAAATACCCAAAAAGAAGTTTGTAAAAAATGAATCCGCCTCAACAATATAGAACTTATCTATATAAACTATATTGTAATTGAAAATAATTGACCAATTTATAAGTAAACTGGGTAAAAAATAATATCGGGGTTTTAATTTTAAACAGATTTTTAATTAACTTCGTTTAGTTATTAATAGAAACATTTTTTGTGTTTAAATACGAAATGGTTCACGATAACTCGACGACATTGGTTCGTCTGATTAGGTTCTAATAACGTTTTCAAGCTTAAAAAATATAAAAGTATTGGCAAACGAAAATTTCATTTAAGGAAGATTTTGAGCAAAAGCCAAAGTTTATAGGGATAGATAGTTAAAACATTTTAAGCAAATATGATGATACGAAACAATTAAATCAGTCAAATATTAGCATTATACGCGAAATTTTAGTCATTTGAATTTTCCAACTTAAAGTTTTCTGGTTCGGCTCTTTTGTTGTTGTCTGGTTTGTCTAGATTAGACGCTCAACGGTTTAAAAATACTTTTCTCAAATCATCTAACACGACTTTGCTAAAAATATTTTCTTTCATTTTACTTGATTGCAATTGCAAACTATAGAAGAAACAATAGCTCAGACCTAGATTGTGTACGTACAAGCATACGCCCTTTTTAGTGGGTAAAATTCGTACTTCTGATCAATTTTTGTAAAATTCTTTTCAATTTCGATTCGGTATCTTCCTGCATTTTCTCTAATGTTGCTAGAAATAGTCTTTTTCACTTATTTTGTGAGTCAATTTTGGTTCTTATTTTCATATTATAGTTGATTTTCGATGCTCTAGATAAAGGTAAAAACTTTGAATGAATGGCAAAATAATGTCATTTCTCATCCAGACGAATACAGAGAAATACGAATTAATTAAAACGAATAGAAACCCAAGAAAATAAGTCTATTTTTTCTAATAAGAAACCCAACTATTCTATTTTAAATCCTTTGCATATGGAATAATGTTAAGTGCACTACTTGTGCAATTTTGTGACTCTAAACGTCTACATATTTCAAGAAAATTAGTTTGATCTTGGCTTTCTTTATTCATGACGTGACCATCATCAATATTTTTATATTATAATATATTTTCAATAGCAAAAAAACTACTACAATGATATCAAACTCGAACAATCAGAAAAACTGATAATAATATCTGGTGGCTTTAAAAATATTTAACCGACATTTGCTGTGTTTGGACATTTGGACTTTCAACACATATTTTGCGGTCCATATGAGTGCAAATATATCTTTCTAAAGATCCATATGCTGTCGCCAGTGTAGACAATTATTTGATTCGAACTAAAAAAAACATTTGTGCCAGACAAAGTTAACCGAATTCTTCTAATAAGAGAAAATTGAAGCCACTTTTCAAATGTTTGCTGTTAAATAAATAATTCAATATCCCTATTTTTGAATTTTGTGGCTAATGGAAGAGTAAATGATCTGTTGGGTCTAGATTTCCGAAAAGAAAACTGTCCAAAACACTCGATCTAAATAGGAAATGATGTGTCAGTATAGTGGAAGCATATTTCCCGTTTGAAATGCATGTGGGGGTAAAAGCAAAGAAGTAAAGAGGTTTCTATTAAGTTCATGAAAAATGGAGGGATCCAAACACAGCCCTGCTCTACTTCTGGAAACAGGGAAGGAAATCTGGCGGTGTGGCATAAAAGTCTATTCATAAATGCTTCGGATGTCACAGCTCACGTAAATAACGTGCATACGCTGATAGAGTCTTTATTGAAAATATTTCAATACAAACTTTTGAGCTAGATAGCGAGCTATTGAACGCACCCTCGAAGAGAATGCTAAACTATTGCGACTTTACTACATGTAATCTTAATATTATGATTGATTAGCTAGTGGATACTGAGTTCGCCTTGAATTTATATCATCAAAGAAAATTTGAAAGAACAACTGAAAAAATAAAACTGCCTACTTTACTGGATAAAGTAACAATCTTTGCAAAATTTGCACTAGTTTCTTGAGATGGCTCCGAACCACTGCAATTACATATTTTTTTACCGATAACACAAATCGCCCTCTAGTAGTGTATATGATTTAAGATTTATATGATCCTTTAGTCACAATTGCTGATAATTTGCTTTGTTAATCATTTACTGAACACTATATTTTCATACTATAAGTTCATACTGGCGCTTTGAAACATTCTTTTCAGTGCGTTACAATTTTTAGCCGGAAAATCTGAACAGTATTGATAAAGCGACACTCTGTGTATGGATATATACGTTTGTAGTCAGCGGATCAGCCTTTTAGGCACCTTATTTCGATAGAAAATTGGAACGGAAAAAATAACATATCGACTGCCTACTGTTCTCGACAGGTTGGCTTTGCGTGCTCCTCGGAATGTTATATATTCGCATAAGCATGGTGAAACATATTAGGATTTTTTTCTGCATATCTGGCTTCATAAATAAATCTGTTGGGTTTCCCTCCAGTGACTAGTCAGCTGAAATGGAGAAAATTGAAACGAGGAAACCCGTTTAGCATTTTGACTAGTCTAATAAAAATATGGTACAAAAATTGCGAATTGATCGTCAATTTTATATAGCATGTGTAATATGCGTGGTGAAAAGTATTTTGCATAGGAAAATATTTTCCAAAAGGTATTCTGCGAACATCAATTTCCATAACACTCGAGAAAGGCACGGGACCAATTTATAGCGAATAAACTCGATACTGTCTTGAAAGCCATATATGTATCTATTTCGGATTCAGTTGCTGATGCAAATACCTACTTTTGATGGATGTCGGTAGTGATGTGGCCATGAACAAATACTTTTAGTACTAACAATTTTTTTTGTTCAAAGAAAGTTAAAGAAAACCCCCACAAAATTAAGTGAAATTTATAAAAGGGATGAACGCCACTGCCTGTGTTTACTACAGCGATTTTACTTTTCTTTAACCTAAAACACTTGTCCGCATTTCCTTATTCTGGTTCTTCTTTATATCAATATACTCGAGTCTGCTTTCAAGAGCCCGAATTCCTTCTTGACCCCGAATTCAAGAAGGCATCTAATACCTAATTTGCAATAGCAATAAAAAAAATAGTGTTTTTTAAAGTGAAGGATGGAAATACGAAACTCTGGAGAAACACATCGCTTAAATAAAAGGAATTTTGGAAACTTTCTTACAGAACAGCATGCTTTTAATATCCTCTTAGGCAGAATGAGAATTTTCCTTTCCTGAATAGTAGTCGATTTATTGAGGCCCATAGTTTAGAGAAATGTATTGCTTTTGAGGCAATTAAATTGAATTCGAACAAAATCGACTCTCGGGGGACACTAATTTATTCTAGTAAGGCCTCATAAATCTTCAAACGTAATTTGAAAGTATTTCCACATAATTTCTAGATTTTTTATTCTTAGTAACTTAGTGATCACTAAAAGTCGTAATAAAAATTAATTTACAATCTGATTCTAGATTTATTTAATATCCATTAGAAGTGTACATTCATTTTTCTTTAAGTGATCCCGGTATAGCATTATTCCACTAAATCCCCGATTAAATCAAAAAAAAGGTAAAAGCGTTTGGAATTTTTCATCTTGATGCTACGCAGAAAAGGCAGGCCTAACATCGTTTCCTTTTTCCCTTCGATCCTTCTCGATGAACATCAGATCAAATTTGCCTCGAGAACATATTTTAGCATTATCGATTGATCTTTGTACTAAGAGCGAACTCATCAATAAATGAAGAATTCGAATAAAATATGCATTGACAGGTCTATTCTCACACAAAAAGCTTAAATAAATTTACTTCTAAATGGTGACGAATACGATCTTTATCAAATTCGATTCACTGGTTTATATATATCAGATGTATAAAACAAATTAATACAAAATTTAATCAATCAAGTTTAGGAAAAAAATGTCTCAGGAAAATTCTCATTCTGTGTCACTCAGTCTTTCATTTCATCCTTGAAATAAACATGAACTTAACTTAAAGAGAACTTAAATAAAAAAATTATTAAAAAAATTCCATATTATGAATTATGGGGTAAGTATTTTCAAATGTTTTGCTCTCCCAAAGATTTTTTTTTTCTTAAGAAGAGAGAATAATTAAGAACTAATGGATGTTTTAATGCTTTGTAAATTATAGTTTTTGAACAATATGTTTTAATTGTAAATTGGTGTTTGCAGTTTGTTTTGAATTTTAAATCTGATGACGGCGCTGTTGCCTCGCCGAAACGTAATATTGAAATAAACGACATGAACATTTTTATTTCACATTTTGACTGAAACCCAGGAAAGAAAAAATATAATAACAATTACACGCAGTCAGGAAAATAAATCTAAATTGATAAAACCTCATAAAAGCCCATAAAGTTTTAAATGGTTACTTTTAAGAATGTTAAGAAAGCAGCCGTTGAACATTTGCCAGATATTTAAAAAAAAATCGTTATTATTGTTCTATATATGGTTTTATTCTAAACGTATATTTTTAAGGTTTTATGACTAGATTCAACCCACATTTTCAGCGAGAAACCCCACTTTTAGTCACTGAGAAAAGCTTTTAAAAATTAATTGGCATGTTGAAAACCAACTGTTTGTCGTTTTATTTTCATTTCGATTATTATAATGATTAAACGCTTTATTGGCTCTCTCTAAATCTTCACTCTTGCGGAAGAAAATAAACAACATACAAACAAACATAATTTATAATTTTACTATAATTTATAATTTAATAATACATAATTTTTCATTTCATATTAAAGTTGCCATAAAAAAATGAAGCTTTGTAGTACATTTTTTTTCAAAATGTGAGGCTGAAAATCACTGGTTTCTCGACAGTGTATAGGTATGTTAAAGTGAATTGCTTATTTGCAGTTAAATCAGCACTAATTATAATCTGGCTTTCATGTTGAAAGCGAGCTGTATGCTTCTGAAACTGCACCCATTAGCTCTTTTCCACGAGCACAAAGGTTTGAAGGATCTGTTTGGATGAAACTATTACTAATTGCTTTTTCAAAAACGTACAATTGAAAGTTTCTAATAAGACCGGCTTTAGATATTTCGGAGTTATGCAGTTTCGAAATATGAGTAAACTCCACATGCCATGGTTTAGTCAATGAAATGCAAAATAAACGCACCAGAATTATTCCATTTCAAGAAATCTCAACACAGAAAGTTTCCTTGCATATACAACAAAAACGGAACTCCATGCGCTGCGAAGAATTGCGGCTAAATCGAAGCATTTGGAATTCGATAAGGTGCTTTATTCTGGGAATAAAACCGTTCAGGTGTAGTTACTTTCAGAGATAAGCCAGATAAAAAGGAATATTGTGTGTATAATTGATGAAGACTAAAATCAAGCAAATTCAGGAAATTTCAGAAAAATGTCCGCTCACGCATTCATGCACATTTTTCAGATTTTTTTTAAATTACAATTTTCTCACTGATTAGGTTATTTCTAAATAGTTCTCATGGCAAAATGCAAAAATATAAATTAGAGTTAATATTTAGTGGTTTGAGTTAAAATATTAGCACGACTTTTATACAATTTTTCCATTTAAGTAGTTGACACTCTGGTATATTTAAAGCAAACCCAATGTTGATATCGACACAAATATAGTTTTCTATTTCCTTTTTATGCAATAATTACATTACTGTACTATAAGTAAAGCTTCAATATCTAGATCCGAAACCAAGACAAGCACTATTTCCATTCCACAGCCCTAATATTATTTGATGCCAAGCAGCAAATCTAATGCCGTGTTTAAATCAATACCGACTGTAAAACTGCAATTTCTATTGTAAATCCCCGGTGTTAGCAATAAAATAAGAAAGAAAAAGAAAAGTAGTACATCGACGAAATACAACAGAGATACGTTTAAACTTTTCGTATACTACCTGCTGCATCCATTTTTAGATCCTTTAAGTCCGCTAATTCCTGCACAGCCCTAAGTTCTTCCATGGCACTTTGCGGTCCTTTAGCAAGTTTGAAACAAAATGAAGTTTTTTTATAGGCACGAAATTGTTACTTTTTAACAAAAAGTTAAGACCCACACACGCTCACATGGTTAAACTTTTCAAACAGTTATACATATGCATTGCAATCATGTTGCGCTTTATGCATATTATGTTACCTGTTGCACTGAAGAACAGATGAAAAGCCAAATGCTGCTTTTTATTTACGTTTTTAGGTTTTGCTAAGGAAAAGTAACGATACTGTTTTGATGCTACAGTTTGGGCATGTAGTTGTTTCTATTTTAACGTATTTTAATGGTTTTACTATAACTATCATCTACACGACGAATGCATGCATATCCTGAGTTGCGTAGAGTTCTTTTATCACTCGGTGTGAAAAGGAAAATATGTTTTGGTCCAGATCAGTCTTCAACTTCCAAAAGTTCCCTTTGAAAGGGGTCTCTATTCAATTTCCTACTTTGTCAATGTTCAAAGTCGCTGAGATTTGATATATTGTTTGTAATCGTTAAGTTGAGCCTTAATGAGTTATTGCACAATTAATTTAATCCTCTACCCTGATTAATTGTTAAATAAATATATACATTTACTTTTAACTGGTGATTTAGATGATTTGACGCTGGCTAATTTGAAACACATTGATCATTTACTTACAAAGTTAGCTGCCTCTTTATAGTTTTGAGGCTTTGAGCAAGATAGAGGATTTTATACATTTTTGTAGTGCCTGTTTCTAAGAAACAATTTTTCACACATTTGTCGCCTAGCTGATCCAAGCAAAGATCGACAAAGTGTCCTAAACTGACTGTCCCGTTTAGATTCTGCCTCGAATATCAGACTTCCTTACAAGAGATAAACGATGGTAATTGAAAATGATTTTTTTTTCACAAAACAACGTCAGCTTGAATTTAAGTTACTTAAGTTCTCCGCACAGCATTATTGACTTTGTATCGACTTTTAGTTCAGTTTTGGTTAATACATTTTATGCCACTAAATTGCATTGCTGTGTACGAACCACAACTGAGTAAAATCCGCAAATCTATGATAATTTCGTTTAGTGCTTTTGAACGGAAAAGAGTAAAATAGTTGAAGACTCTATCAGCAATGTCAGTTTTGAATGCCTCAACTTTAGTTTGTGTGAACCATGATTCCTGCATAACGATCTAACCAGCCATATACACCTAGAACTTTTAAAATTTTATTTTTGTTATTTTTTTAATGAAAGCGTCATATGAAATTATTCTGACTTACTATTACTATGCTAATTATAATAAAAATCAGGTTTAATGTTCTCGTTTAGGGTTTATTGTTCGTCTAGAAAAAGTCAATCTTGATCAGTTTCCTTACTTTAAGACAAGGAATTGTCCATGATTGGTTCCACCTCCACTGAATCGACATTGAACTTGCATTCTTAAACTTCTCCAAGATGGTTTCCAAGAGGAGAGATTAAAGGAAACCCAAGTTACGTCAGTGTTTTTCAATATTAAGCACAGTAACACAGAAATTCAACCTGTAATATCAAACCGCAAAATATCACTTTCCTTTTTGTTCGAATGATTTCGCGTATAATCGGGCTTTTAATATTTATAACAAACGCTTGCTTACTCAGCCACCGGCTTACTTTCAAGTGAATTTAACGGGAATTCACTGAAGCTGTAACTGGAATTGAATTCTGAATTATTAATCTTGGCAACCGTAGGTTTTCGTAAAGGACCCGTCGATTTTTTGCCCAATTTTGTTGTCAATCTCTCGATCAAAATGCTGTTTCAGTTTTTAATTTGTTGTGATACTTACCGGGGCGTATATTGAACAATGGTTCACTGAATACGGACGCTCCAGGTTCTCCTTTCGGCCCAGTTATGGATAACCCTGGTAAACCCGGAGGACCCGCCGGGCCTGGTGGTCCAGGTACTGGGATAAATCGGCTTTCAGAATCTCGCCCGTCACGGCCCGGTTGACCGGGAGTACCATCGGCTCCTTTGTCTCCTTTTTCTCCTTTAGTTCCCTGCAACATTTGAAAAACGAAACATTATTTTAAAAGTAGGTTGGGATTCTTGCAAATTGGTGGATCTTGGAAAAAGGTAAACGTTCCTTCTGCTTTGTTATTTACTTAACGAGAGCGGTAAGTAAAACTTTACCGCTTGTTGATGGTACAAAAAATTATCTATAGGCATCTGTATAAAATAGATTTAAACTGTGCGCCCCAGTAACTTTGTTGAGGCGTTGACCAAAAATAAGGACATACAGCGGGAATTTTATATTTTTCAGTTATTTTTCTTAACGAATTTTTTTTTATTAAAAATAATACAATTACACGGTCCAATAAAGTAATATTTTTCGCTCCCAAATCAGTGAAACGAAGCGGCATTTTTATGCAAACAAGGATGTCTGCGGTAAAAAAAGCCAGGAGAAATTACTAATACCGTTTCATACACATTTG